ATTGCCCAGCATTGTGTTCTAGGTTAACTAAAAACCCAGTCTCTGTGTGGTGATTTGGTTATACAGCTGCTGAGGATTAACAGCAGCATTACCAGAAGATAAACCAGTAGTAAATATTAATCCCGCCTACAACAGAGGTGGAGTTAGGAGAATTGCTCAGAAGCCTTGAGTATGTAGTATAGCAGTGAGAAACAAGAGGCCTTGCCTAAAAATGAAGGTAGAAGGCAAAACCCAACTTCCAAATATTTTCTTGTGACTTCCACTTGAATGCTGTTTTACATATGTATTAGCACCCATATATATACTATGCACACCACAAAATTAGAAATAAATCATATGCTAAGGGAAGTAGTCAGAGTAAGCAGGGCACATGTGTATTTCCATTAATATAAAATGTTCTAAATAAGCAACTACAGAAAGCAAATTGATTAGTGGTTGCCAGGCAACAGGAGTGGCAGGATTGTGATATTGGTAGGTGCAGGGTTTCCTTGGGGAATCACGGATATATCCTGAAGTTAGTGGTGGTTATGTAATAATGTGAATATATTAAATTCATATTAAATTACTGAATTGGACCTTTAAAAATGGTCAAGTGATGTACAACCACTTTGGAAATCAATCTGGTGCTTTCTCAGGTAATTAGGAATAGTGCTTCCTCAAGATCCAGCCATACCACTCCTAGGCATATATCCAACATATGCTCAAGTAAACAACAAGGACACTTGTTCAACCATGTTCGTAGCATCTTTATTCATAATAACCAGAACCTGGAAACAACCCAGATGCCCCTCAACGGAGGAATAGATACAGTAATTGTGATACATTTACACAGTGGAATATTACTCAGCAATTAAAAACAAAGAAATCATGAAATTTGCAGGCAAATGGTGGGATCTAGAAAAGATCATCCTCAGTGAGCTATCCCAGAAGCAGAAAGACACACGTGGTATATACTCACTCATAAGGGATATTAGACATATAAGATGAACATACTACAATCTGTACACTAAAGAAGCTAATCAAGAAGGAGGATCCTGGATAAGATGATCAATCTTCACTCAGAAAGACAAATGGGATGCACACTGGAAGAAGGAGAAAACAGGAAACAAGACAGGAGCCTACCACAGAGGGCCTCTGAAAGACTCTACCCAGCAGGATATCAAAGCAGATGCTGAGACTCATAACCAAACTTTGAGCAGAGTGCAGGGAATCCTGTGAAAGAAGGGGGAGATAGTAAGACCTGAAGAGGACAGGAGCTCCACAAGGAGAGCAACAGAATAAAAAAATCTGGGCCCAGGGGTCTTTTCTGAGATTGATACTCCAACCAAGGACCATGCATGGATACAACCTAGAACCCCTGCTCAGGTGTAGCACATGGCAGCTCAGTATCCAAGTGGAAAGGTTTCTTAGTAAGGGGAACAGGGGCTGTCTCTGACATGAACTCAGTGGCTGGCTCTTTGATCACCTCTCCCTGAAGGAGGAGCAGCCTTACCAGGCCACAGAGGAGGACAATGCAGCCAGTTCTGATGAGATCTGATAGACTAGGGTCAGATGGAAGGGGAGGAGGACCTCCCGTTTCAGTGGACTTGGATTGGGGCATGAATGGAGATGAGAGAGGGAGGGTGGGATTGGGAGGGAATGTGGGAGGGAGCTACAGCTGGGATACAAAATGAACAAACTGTAATTAATATAAAAAATAAAAATTTAATAAATATAAAAAATGGTCAAATGAATTCTGTTATATAAATTTTATCTTAAAATTAAAAATATGGCCAACATTATTAATTATCAAGAAAATACAGTTTATAATCACAATGTGACATGATCTCGCACTATGCAGGATGCCTATTATCAAAACATAAGTGCTAATGAATGTTGGTGAGGATATGAAGAAAAGGAAGCCCTTGTACACTGTTGATGAGAATGTAAATTGGCACAACCATCATAGAGGACAGTGCGTACATTCCTTAAAAACAAAAAGCTTCATTATTCATCAACTACTATTAATGAGATCCCACATCTCACCTCCAGGTACCTAGCCAAAGGAAATAAAATTAATATTTTGAGAGATACCTATAGTTTAATGCTCATTTCAGTTTTACAACACCTAAAACATGCAGTCAAGCCAAGCGTCCATCAACTGACAAATAAATAGACATATGGTTGTTATACACCATAGGATATTTGGTTTATCAATTTAGCTTATCAATATAACAAAATCCATGGAGCATTCTGTTTTTTTTTTTTTTTTTTTTTTTTGGTACACCCTTACCCGGCCTACTTAACCCTTCCTGGACAGTGTTGACAGCTGGTGTATAACAGTTTTATACACCATACTTGTAGCTAGGGATGTACGTATTCACATAGAAAACTATTCTTTTTGAAATAATACAATTGAGCATATAATTTAGTCAAATTTTGCTAATTGTTCCAAAATGTTATTTAGAGCTATTCTCCTTGCATATTTGCTTTCTGTTTTAAATCTGGGAGCTTATGGATCTTACATACTATTCCTGTGAGCTTCACCTCTACAGTCTTCCTTAGTTTAGAAAAAGTTCTCACCTCTTGGAGTTACCTTGTTCAGCACTGGTATGTGGATATCCTTCTCTTTAACCCTGAGATCTGATGTGAAGGTCACACCTTTGGCACCCTAATAACCACTACTTCCTTAAGCTCCCTGCATGGTGCTTTGCATAAAGTGGCAATAGTAAACAGTGGTTAAAATCATTGACTCTAAGTCTGTAAAGTCTTGTGTTCAAATTTTCTGGCTTCATCAGTTAATATGTGGGTGACTATTTAGATAGAGCCACTGAACTCTGGAGACTTGGTTGGATTATCAGTCTCAGAAAAGACCCCTGGGCCCAGATTTTTGTTTCTGTTGCTCTCTTTGTGGAGCTCCTGTCCCTTCCAGGTCTTACTATCTCCCCCTTCTTTCATAAGATTCCCTGAACTCTGCCCAAAGTTTGGCTGAGTCTCAGCATCTGCTTTGATACCCTGCTGGGTAGAGTCTTTCAGAGGCCCTCTGTGGTAGGCTCCTGTCCTGTTCCCTATTTCCTCCCTCTTCTTTGATGTTAGTCCTGTTTGCCTTTCTGAATGAAGATTGAACAAGGACCATGCATGGAGATAACCTAGAACCTCTTCACAGATGTAGCCCATGACAGCTCAGTGTCTAAGAGGGTTTCCCAGTAATAGGAACAGTGACTGTTTCTGACATGAGCTCAGTGGCTGGCTCTTTGATCACCTCCACCTGATGGGGGAGCAGCCTTTCCAGTCCACAGAGGAAGACAATGCAGCCAGTCCTGATGAGACCTGATAGGCTAGGGTCAGATGGAAGGGGAGTAGGACCTCCCCTATCATTGGACTTGGGGAGGGGCATTGGAGAAGAAGAGAGAGGGTGGGATTAGGAGGGGATGGGGGTGCGGGCTACAGCTTGGATACAAAGTGACTAAATTGTAATTAATAAAAATAAAATAAAAATTGATTAAAAAAAAGCTCTGGAAAGTTAGCTCCCACACTCGTAAAAGAAGGCAGTCATAGTAAGTGTCTCACTAGTTCACTGAGATAGCAGCATAGTGCCTAGAACAAAGCAAGCACTCAACCAATGCCAGCTCTCGCATCCTTATTCTAGCAGATACTAAATACACATCCATTGATGCTGCTGGAAAGTAGGCAGGGTTTCTGGGATGTGGCATCATCACAGCAGGCATGGATCTGTCTGCGAGTAGAGAAGAAGGAATATGCTGGAGAAGAACTAAAGTCAGCAGCTACCACAGAAGTGGAGTGTAAAACCCTGGCTTAGAGAACCCTCACTCTTTTGTGACCTTAGAAAACCGTCTGTTCTCTCTGCCATCTATTCTCCTGCATAGAACTTGGTGCTTCTCCTTGAACAGGTTACAGTTTTTGGTTCCAAGATGGAAGAATGCATCTTTTTTTTTTTCCTTGAGACAAAAGCTTAGAAATTATAATGCAGGTAGGTTTTGAAAAAGCAAAGGCAGATAGATAATAATAGCCATCATATTTATAGAGAGCCTCTTCTATGGACATAGTGTGCTAATCAGTTTATCATTTCATTTAATTTGAGAATTTCTCAGAAGGTGTGAAAACATTGGCTCAAAGAGCCCAGAAAACACAAAGCTTCTCCAGTGGCTCCATTAGGGTCCAAACCTAAAACACTTAAACTTGAAAAACTCATCCCTGTAAGCATCATTTCACACTGTGAAAGGGAAGGGTGTGTGGGTCTGAGCACGGCTAGGGCTTTCAGAGCGGCTCCCGGCTGCCCACTAATGTTTCCCATGCGCCACATTTGCATTCTGCTCCCACCCCCAGTCTCAAAATTTCACAATGGATTTTGGAGGAAAGAGGAAAATTATTCCTAAAGTTGTACTTAAAGTGCAAAAGAAATTATTTAATGCCACAAAATTAGTGGTAAGATAAAAAAAAACATATTCAAGACATCAATTCAGATTTTGAAAATTAGAAACATAATTAAAAATCCAATAAGTGAGGCCAGTCATGGTGGCACACACCTTCAGTCCCTACTTCTGGGAGGCAGAAGTAGGTAGATATATGTGACTTCTAGTCTAGCCTGGTCTACATAAAGTTCCAGGCTAGTAAAGTTAAATGGTGAGACCCTGTCTCAAAAAACATCCTGTAAATGATTAAAAGTAGATTATTTAGACATTAATTTCAATAAAAGTGTACTGTATTGCTTAAGGCTAGGATGACCATACAGTTAATTGATTAAATAGGCACATTTTAAAGGGATTTTAATAATAACTATACCAAGCAAAGCGGTGTGGAGAGGGACCTTTTCTAGGGTGCATGATTTTACTACCACCATGTTTATGGCTTGACTTTGAGCAATATGTCATTAATAAGATGACCTATTTGGGAATTATGATGCCATTATTGTAGATATAAAACAAGCTTGCTTAAAATAAAATTTTTGATTTTCTACTCAAAGTTTCTGTTTGAATGTTCTATAGACTGTAGGTTATTACCTTTCATTATTGTCAGTGCATTGATCCTGGAGCTCCTTCTTTTCTCTCTCTTCTCTTATATGAGAGCTATGTTCCTTTGGTCCAGAATAAGTGGGCAAAAATTCCTTATAATAGAAATCTTCCAAACCTAGTAATTTTCCCTGACTGCAAATGAACACACAAACATGCACACAATCAGTCTAATTTCTGCTCACTTGACTTACACACTACATTTTCTTCTTTTGAAGTATTTACTGTAACTTAAGCACATTCCACACATTCCCTTATGTATGAGAGAAATCTTGAAATGTAAAAAAATAAAAAACTAAAACAAAACACTATATCCTGTCAATTCAAAGCATCTTTCATCTCTTACCTTGAAAAAAGCATTAGCTGCTTGACAGGCTTCTCTTGCTTTTAATAGGTTTAATTTAACATGAACTGATGGTTTCTAGAACTGCCAGTGACAATGATTCCTAGTTTGGCCAGTCTACATTCATGTTCACACCAGGTTCATGAATAACTGTCATGAGAACTGGCCTTGATGATGTTGTCATCCATAACCTTAACTAACTTCCATTATGGGTACCACCAGGTGGTAAATAGGGAACTCTGTTTATGCTCAATACAAGCACCCCTCTTCCATTCCTAACTTTGTCTGAAAGTTATTTGACATAATAATAAGATTAAAATGTCAAAATATTGAAGTGTTAAAAGACTGAAATATTATATATAGAGAAGAATGATGTGAAGAAGTGTGCCATACCTACAAAATACACAGCCCTTGCCATCCTAACAATCTATAAAAGGTATAAAATGTGAAATTTAAGATGTATCAAAGGACCATAAAACAAAAAGGGAAAAGAATATTTGTGGATATTGAGGCATTCTCATTGTTAAATGGGCAGAGAAAAGCAAAGCCTATCCCAATGATGTAATACATTTAAACCATATTTGAATTCTTAATGAATGATTTAGTTCTGTCTCAGTATATTTAATTTATGGGTTCCATATAGTCCTCACATTCAGGATATTCTCATGCTGGTACCATGATACTTTTCAAATATATGTGATTTGTAATAAAATTTGAACATAAAGATTTATAATTTTATTTGAACAAAAACAATGTTATAATTTAGAAAAGATAATTACCTATCTTTTCTTGGTCTTCGTTTTTCTTCTTGGATTGACTTCTAAATTAAATAGAAGAATTGAAAATTTATAATATATAGTAACATGAAATAATACTGTATAATGTTTATTATCTCAATGACAGGTGAGAAAGAGGGAGAACAGGACAAGTGATTACTAGCTTATGAAATTATGAAGTAATTCATAAGCAGGTACTATGTGCTTCTGTTTATATGGGTTCTGGAAGAGGTAAATACATAGATGACAGTCAATTACTGATTGCTTAGGGCTTGGGTTAAGAATGGAGTTTGGTGGTGACTGATAATGGCTAGAGTTTCATTTTGGAGTGATTAAAATGCCATGAAATTGACTGTGGTGATGATTGCACTAAAAGCCACTTTGTTGTATCTTACCTGGGTGGTTTGTATGACTTGTGACATATCTCAACACAGCGGTAGGAATGAAGGCACCTATCTATGTCTGGACCTCTTTATGTGCACATCCATGTAGATTATGTAATAAATATTAGGTAGTTTGCTATTTGTGTATGGAGCTAGAAGAGAGACCTAAGACAGAGACAAAGGTTCTAAACGGGGCAGTGACCAAGGTCATGAGAGCTATTCTAAGATGATGAGACTATTCTAAAGAATTGAAAAGTGAAGAGGTCATACATTAGGATCCCAGGCAACACCATGAGGGAGGCAGGCATCATACAGAAACATGGTGAAAAACCAGAGGGAAGGGGATGACTAGAATTGGCCCAGCTAGCTGAGAAATCAAGTGTGAGCTTCACTTTCTGCCTGTGTCATGTGACTCTTGTTTCCGATGAACTCTGAGATTCTGTAGGTTTTCAAGGGCATGAAGAAGTTTTTGCTCTTCTTTGTACAGTGGTAGACTGAATAGGTATTAGAAATGGAGAGACCACTGGGGTCAGAAGGAATGACTTGGATGCCGAGGGGATGCCTCTCACTGTGGAGTTTAAGCAGTTTCCTATGATGAGTTGACATGGGGGCAGAAGCTGTGTCTAGTGAAGAAGACGCTGGGACCTGAACTTTTTGCTGACCTAATTAAAGGAGGAACATAATCAAATTCATAGTTTTGAGAAAGTTTCTGGTGTAAGCTGGGAAGTTTGATTGAGAAATGGTGATGGTCAGAACTGAGAAGATTCTGTGTGGCTAGAGGAGGAGGATGAACTGGTAGCTAGAAAGCATAATGTGACCGCTGGCACAGGTGTCAGGTAGAAAAGGAAGGGCAAGACCTTAGATAACTGCCAAGTTCACAGAAACCAAGGTGATCACTGGGGCATGCATGGAGGATAGTAAGGAGGGGAAAGGAAGCCTAGTAGAGAGCATCCCAATGATTTCTCATGCTGCCAACTGAGGAGATCCTGGAGATCTCAATCAAGTTAATAGCCCTGATGGGAAAGCTAAGATGTTCACTTGTGTCTCATGATTCTGACCTGAGACATGGACACAAAACTAAGGGCTAGTTCTAGGATCAGCTATCACAATGGTTAGGGATACATCTCACCATTGGCCTGGAATTTGCGGAAGCTTAACAAAGGTTCACTTCTCTTTTACAACATGCATAACTACATATTCATTAAAATGAAGGTCTCTATCTGAAGGGCTTTCCTATGATGGACTTCCCTGCCTAGGTTGATAATTGTGTGTAAATTCTGATAAGTGATGTGGTGGTTTGACTTGGTATGGCCCCCATAGACACATGTGTTTGAATGCCTGACCCATAAGGGAGTGGCACTATTAGGAGGTGTGGCCTTGTTGGAGAAGGGTGTCACTGTTATGGTGGGCTTTGAGGTCTCCTATGCTCAGGCTATGCCCAGTATTGGTACAGTTTCTTTCCTGTTGTTCCTGATATAGAACTCTCAGCTCCTTCTCCAAGACCATGTCTGCCCACATGTTTCCTGTCATGATGATAATGGACTAAACCCCTGAAACTGTAAGCCAGCCCCAACTAAATGTCTTTCTTTATAAGAGTTGCCATGTTCATGGTGTCTCTTCACAGCAATGAAACTCTGAGACAAGTGACTACCAGAAAAAGTTTTTGGGAAAACACATTATAGGTCCAAGATTACAAGAGAGCCCAAGACTATGAGGAAAAGGACTGGAGGAAAAAGGGGCCATTTAGTGGGGTAACTGTGAGGTGGAATCCAAGGAGTGTTCCCATGTTGCAAGGCCTTCTTCTGAGGCAGCCTAACGCTGCCATAGTTTCTACCAGTTTTCAGTTTGATTGTAAGAATGAGCCACTTACATGGAGTAGATAGTAGTATGTAGAGTCTTCAGGGTTATTTAATGTTTTGGGTTTCCGGGGTCGTCTTGGAGGTCTCAATATTTTTGGCTCTTCTCCTTTAGAGACACCTGTAAGAAAGGTGATCATAAATACGTTTTGAATTTCAGAAACTATAAAATGTTTTCCTTTGGATAAATAAGAGCTTCTATGCATGCAAACTGTGTTCAGTATCTCATTCACCCATATTATAGTCATGACAGTCTGCTTGGTGGCCTAGGACTTTGAGAGAAAGAAGAGAGGAGAAAAGAGCAAGAAGAATTCAGTGATATGGAATAGGGACACAGGTTCATGGGAGGGATGAGGCCAGGACCATTCTTAGAATATATAGGTAAAATCTACTTATCTCATTTCTACCTGAATGGCAAGAAATATAGAAATACAGTACCAAGATATATATATATATATATATATATATATATATATATATATATATGCATATATATTCTTAGTATTTTTAGAAACACTTTAAAGTTGCCTGTGACTAAATTTTAACTTGACTGTAATATCATGTAAAATCTGAGTTGACATATTAGAACAATACAATTGTAACAAAAATAAATGGAAGATGGCAAAGAATCTGAATAATTGCCATGAGAATGAAGAAGAAATGATTCTGAGGATAAAGGATTTCTTGGCCCTGCCAAGAAGACAGTGATAATCCTATCAAATTATCTCTACTCAATCTGAGTGCTATTTCAAATTTCATTAGACGTGGGTGACTCTTGGGACTGGGCCAGCACAAAGGAGGAAGGAAACAGAAGAGAAGGGAGTGGGAAGAGAAACAACTAAACAAATTCTGTTTGAAAAATGACACAGTGAAGCCTAGTTGTTGCTTGCGATAAAGCCGGCCTGACCCTAGCACGACTGGGGAGGGGCTTGTGAAGTCCCAGCTCTTGTCTATGAAGCTATTGGCAATCAGTGGCTGTTGGGGAAGGAGGTTTCCTCCAAGCATGAGGCCTCTGAGACACTAGCCATGCTCTAGTACCTTGTCCAATTCAATTAAAAAAAATTAAAACAGGTATTTTAACAAACAGAGGGCACATGGAGTTGGTTGGAAAGAAAAAGTGGTGGGGAGTAGAGGGAGAATTAGGGTGAGAGAATGGAAGGGTGGACTAAAATACATTATGTGAACATATGAATATCAAAGAAAATATTTTTATTGCTTACACTTATTTGTTTATTTGATTTTTGCATATGTGTGCTTTGTCTGTGTACCACATGACTGCCTAGTGCCAGCTGAGGCCAGAAGAGGGTGCTGGATCCCCTGGAATTCAGGTGATAAAGGTTGTGAGACATCAAATGGATGGTCGGAATCAAACCTAGGTCTTCTGCAAGAGCAAATAGTGCTCTTAACCACTGAGTCATTTCTCCAGCTCCATGAATAAAACACTATTTTCAAAAAGAAAATACCTTTTAGAAGGTCAAGGATGCTCTTCATAGACAGACTGTAGGCCCTTTATGTCCTGATATCCCTCATTTCTGCATCCTTGAGCATAGCCCATCATTTCATGCCTTCCAACCTAAAGACATTTTTTTCCCACAACCTCAGGAAAAATATGCTAAATATTTAGGTATTTAATGATGTTTTCTGGCCGAGGTTGGAAAATAGCCCAGCAGTAACTAACAGTGCTGGGTGCTTTTCCAGAGGACCAGGGTTTGGTTTTCAGCGCCCACAGCAGGCACAGTATAACCTCCCATAACTTCTGCTCTGTGGAAAACTGACCACCCTGTCCTGTCTCCACTGGCACCTGCACATACATGTCACACACACACACACACACACACACACACACACACACACACACACGGACATAGGGGAAAACTGCACTGACAAACTATGCTTCAGAGGAGACCTACTGACAATACTGTGGTCTCAGATTTTGAGCTTGCAGAATGGAAGGCAACAGATATCCTGCTAAAGCCACTTGCTCTGTGGTTTATTGTGGCAGCCCTAGAAAATGAATATAGAACCCAAGCCTATATCTGTTGCTACTGCCCTGTAGTTGCTTCTACTGCTCTCTCTCTCATTCAATATACACATCTTTCTTATCTCCCGTCTGCCATAGGCCTAAGGTCAACAGTGGATATCTTCTTTGATTGTTCTCCACTTTATTTATTGAGCCACGGTTTCTTGATGAACCTAAAACTTGACAATTATTGCTAGTCCAGATAGTCAGCCTGCCCTTGGGATTCCTGTCCCTGCTTCCCTAGTGCTGTTCTCATGGTCAGCATGCTTGTCCGGCCTTCACGTGGGCTCTGGGATCCGAATTCTGTTCTCTGTGTTTGCAGGGGAAACATTTTATCCCTTGAGCTGTCTCCCAATCTTTCTGTATGGGACCTTTGTCTATGATGATTGCATACAATGGATATGGAGAGATGTAGGTGGTGGGAATATTTATTTAGGTTTTGAAATCCTCATGGTGGACTCCTGGTCTTCCCTGGTGGGCAGAGTGGGACAGGCATTTGCAGCTGTCTGGAGCTCTACACCCATGGGAGTTGACAGAGACAGAGCTGAGTGGAGAGTAGATGCTCAGGATACTTTTATTAACTGTGTCACTGACTTGTCATCACATATAAAAAGAAATATCCAGTGCTCTAAAGAGAAATGTAAATAAGACAACCAATCAAACTCTGGGAAGAAAATCAGGTGAACTCATGAAGCACAATAGATACCTTAATCAAAACTCAAGAGTCAGGAAGCAGACATATTTGCTCACCATAAATATCCAAGGAACTGAGGATGTGAGTAGGCCAGGAGGACAACACTGGCCTAGCCTGTTTGGGTCAGTCCCGAGAGTCACAGAAGAAAGACAAAAGCCTGAATGTAGTAAAGTTAAAAGGCACCACAGAAACTTGGGAAGCTGTGTTTTACAACCCCACTGACAAATAATGGGCTGTTGTTTTAAATACAGAGTGCTGACAAAAGCCTATAAATGTACAAACCAACAGGAACATGGACAAGAGATCCAAATGAGAAGATCAAGGTGAGCAAATTAATAAATTAAATCAGTACTGAGCGTGCTTGGACAGGGAGCAAGCTGCAACAACGATCATTTTACCCCAGACATATGAGCAAAAATTACAAAGAAGCATAACCCTTATGGACAGGGTGTCATAACAAAGCATGTGTTCACAGAAGGCAGAAACCAATGCCAGGTGCTACAGCCTTTGAGGAAAGTAGACTCAAAATTAAAAAGAAAATAAAGCAAAACAAAACGCCTTTCCTCTTAGTAACCCTGCTACCCCTGAAGTCGCTCCCAAACAACTACAATTTCGAAGATGTTTACTCTGGCGTTTTTCATAGTGGTAAAAACTGAGACATAGCAAGTAAGAAGACATGCATATTTACAAAACGTAGGAAAGAGTATGTGTTTTATAATAAGGCTTTTAAAGAGGGATTAAAGTGGGTTGCATGCAGGGAAGGAAGCAGGATAAAAGAAAAAGTATTCTAAGAGCACATTTATAAAAATATTTATAAATACACATGTGGGCATGGGTGTGTCACAGACTGACAAAGTGCGGATACATCGACTTGAAACCAGTATTCCTATGTACTTCTGTGTTTTATAGAATCCACATTTAGTTTTTCAGCTTGTTTTCTTCAGCAGGACAATCTAAAACAGGTGAGTATTATTAAGGGGTGGCTTGCTAAGACATTGCCACCTGTTAAAGGACAACCGGGGAATGAGGATGAATGATGAGGCTGACCTCTCTGCCAAAGTTCCCTGTACTGTTTTGTTTCCTGGTTTCTGTTGTTGTTGTTGTTTGTTTTGTTTTGTTTTCCTGTGAGTTTATCAGCTCACAAGAGAGGCACAAGTTTATCCTGTGCCCCAATGTCCTTCTTCATTTTGTTCCTTTGGGGGAACACAAACCTTGTGTACTAATCACCCTGTCCCCATGATTACAAAAATAACACAAACATTTATAATCACAAACTTCCAACAGTGTATCAATGTTGACACTAGCAGAATTAGATTTGTGGCTATTCCATGTGATTTGAATGACAAATGTTAGCTTGCAAAGGTTAGAGCCAGGAGGTAAGGCATTATTCATATTGCAGTGCTGGTAGTGATTCCTTAAGCATTTAAATTTATCAGAAATGTACCTTTTGGATAATAAATTGACGTGCATTTTAATATTTTGCATTCAGAAGAAAAGAGACAAATTTAAAACCCATTGCTAGCATTTGCTTTAGAAAGTTAAACTTCAGTATTTTTCTAATTTTAGTGATAATCACACTATTTCTCTAAAGTGTTCACACAGAGTATGATTTGCAGAAGTGTCAGGTGCCTAAATCAGGAGTCAGTAGCCGGGCATTAAGCTACCCTAACTCTTTTCTTAAGAAACCAGTTTTTCAGTTTTTGTAAATTTCCATTTCCTCTTGGCATGCTTGACCTTCAAGAACTATATGACCTGCAGAATTCCTCAGGACTTCCACTCAGGCACCGTGAAAGCAGACTGGAGGAAGCAGGCTGCATTCTCCATTCTGCTCATCCACCTTTCGGCCAGGCTAGGAAACCTAGATTCAGATCCAGACCTAAAGTGCTCCTCTGTGGCCGGCCTCCTTCCTTTCTCTCTGGGAGATGTGCTTAGTTCTCACTGGACCTGGTTTAATCTTTTGCTTCTCCCCTGGGTACTCATGTTCTCTTGAGTACCTTAATCAGAGGACCAAGGTTAAGGTGAGGGGCTTGTCTTGGCTGAACGTCCCTAGCAGCATGGGTGGGGGCATGTTGTCCTGTTTGAGTGGATCTGTTTCAGTCTCCTGACATTCTCAACAAGATAGCTACTGATCCTCCTCCATCTGAGCTGAGAGAGCACTGCTATTCTAGGCATGGTGGGCCTTCATCATGGACTGAGTCCAGCAGTGTATGTCATCCACAGACTCTAGTTCATCAATAAATATCTATGACTCTGTGCCTAGAATACAAGGAAAACTCAGCAGTGGGATTTAAGGTCTCTAATAATGTCTCAGCTCTTTTCAAACTAATGTTGACTTTAGTTTATCTGAAAAACATTGGCATATTTAGTCTGAGGTAAAATGGCAAAACCTGGTATTATTTTTCTCCAAGGGCCAAGTAGTAAACACACACACACACACACACACACACACACACACACACACACACACACACACACGGGTGGGGA